GTTGTAATAGAAAGATATAAACATGGGTAATAACTATTTCTAACATTCCTAGAAGCAGTTCACAAAGGCTTGTTGATCTGACCATAGGGAAAATTCAAATAAACATTTAACTATTCATTTATATTTAGTTATGAAACAGTTAAAATTCTATCAAATATAAAGTTATTCTTAATCTCTCCTAAAAAAACTTTATTTAAGTTTTCATAGGATTTCATTCAACCAAAATCATGACCACAGAACTGTCTTGACATAAAGTCTCAATCATAAGACGGCTATGACAAGTTGTCCTGAAAACAGCAATTTAAAGATACCTAGTAGCCCATATCATATACCTCAAATTCTCACTTCCCAAATTTACGCTACAATAGCTTTAACACGTCATTGCTAGCTTATTCTCAAGAGACGTTTAAACAATTTTAAGCACATTTATTGTAGTTTGAGCTCAGAAATAAAGTGTAGCTTTTTAGTAATCACATTTGTCAAGAGATCGATATCCATTGAAGTCAACTATTTCATTTTTTTTGTAATTCTGGAAGTTCAAATAGTATACAGTTTGATTGTCAATTACAAGCCAGTTAATCATTTCTAAAAAGAAATTTCCACCACAGTAAATCATGCATCTTGTTAGGATAACCACCCGAACATCGTGCTTAATTTAACTGCATTTATGACTTATCACAGGTTATATCTTAAAACTAACCAAAACGCGCAGACAACCCTGAGCAACCAACACACTGCAAGTACGAGGAAGACTGGTACACTATTCCTGAAGGTCGACTCAATACTAACTAGGCCAGAACGAAGAGCATGAATACGTGACCAGAGTTCACCAGTCCAAGATCGTTAGTATATTTCAGACATTCATTTAATTACACACAAGATCAGGTCTCAGAACAAACCAATTAAATAACAATACTGACACGGAACAACAACAATAATCATGGGATAACGGAATACTGGAAACAAAAATAATCAGTTCTAGGTTATGAGTGAAAAATGCTATAGCAATAATTCACCGTTCAAATAAAAGCGTAGATTTAAAATGACAAGAAAACAATAAAGCCAAAATACTTAATAAATATGTAATCAATATATATATATATATATATATATATATATATATATATCAATAAAATCGTGGAAGTTTCGACGTGACAGTTAAATTGTGTATTACAACACATCCCTTTTTGAAAATCATTGTTAAGGCCTGTCATTTGAGTTCATTTTGATCCTGGTTGGTTTTCTTGGAATCCATAGTAATGGTCTTAGGGGTGGCTATAATCATTTATCCAGTGTTCTTGTTCATCGATCAACCAACATATTCAGAGACATGGATTTTTTATTGACATCGTCCCTTTCTTCTCGTCTATATGGTCGTATGTGGTTGGCCTGTATTATCCATTTCATATTGTTAACATTGACTTCATAAATTATTCCCTTTCTGCTGAGTGGGATAATTCCATGAAACCAATCCGTCTTTAGCAGTGAAAATAAGGTACCATAACCGGTTGTCCTGGACAGAATCTCCCCGGCTATCACTAACTTCTCTTGTTGTACAGTTTCCCCATTTTTGAGTTTCGCTCAGTGGTCGTCGTAACATGTGGCTTCAAATAGTTTGACGGTATTTGAGCTTTTCTTCAAAGCATTGCTTCTGACTGAGAAACCGTACCAGCTGTTGTAGGATTCGGTGTTGCTCGGTAAGCAAACAAAGACGTCCGTAATATTTTTTGAATCTTCCCTCCTCCCTGAGCTTTTCGGAATGAAATCTTATAAGTATCGACAAACCGCTCAACCTACCCGCTTAGATGCGAGTGATGTGGAGGAGTCTTGACATGTTTAAATTCGAAAAAATATAAATTAATAGGATTAATCCAATTAAGTCCAGAACTCTAACAATGAACAATTAGGAACTAAAATTCGAAGTACGCAATTTGACATTGTATTGTATTATTAAAATGTTTAAGTGTACATCAAGTGTGTTGGTTATTCACCCCAATGTCGTTCAGAACTCAGAAATGATGAAATTCTACAGATGAAGATTATGAAACATTGCCAGAGACTGTCACTGCCGGAAACGCGAAACAACTAAATATTTGATGTAGTTTATTTAATGTCATCTTAGTTGATGTAGATTACATACAATGTACTTCTAAACATTTGGTAAATGCGTCCATGTTTGTCATTAATGGGCTCTGCAAGATCCAAGTGCACCCTCGACCGTCGATGTGTCGTTATTCCCAACAGAGAAGTTTAGTTTATCAAAGAGCGTTGGCAGATTGAGCACATTTGGAGCGTTTTGATATATAATCTTATTTCGGCATCAGTGTTTGACCAGTATATATAAATTCTGACCAATGCTTTCATCCGGACAATACCTGGATATGAAGAGTGAAGTTGGGATAGAACTTTACGACACGAACATATGGTACAACTAGACGGTTTCCAAAATAAGGAAATTTATCCACAACACATTGAGTTACGTCGCCGAAAATATCCTCGTCTATTTGCATTTAACTGTAGAAAACAGCCATATAAGAAATAACGAATAATGCTCTGAAGCTTACTAACTGTTTGTTGTATTGCAATTTCTACTATCTGGTTAATATGTGATCCCAGTAATACAGCGGCGATGACAATATTTTCATTTTCGAACTTCTGCCTCGCAATTTATCTGGGTAGAGTACTGGCTGGACCAAACTTTGTCGTATATTTATGATTAATTTTAAAGACATGGGCGAATTACATAACTGCCGAAAGTTGAGAAAGGTTAGCAGTATACACCAGGATACAGGACTTTGATTCAAAAACAAAGGGTTTTCGGTCTGTAAACAATGTAAATGGATACCCATAAATCATTTTCTGCAATTTTTGGTAGTGAACATCAAACTCAACTCTTCCTTTTCTATCTGACAATAATTTCGTTCCGTCACATTTGGAGAGCTTGAAGGATGAGCTATAGGTTTTTCCCTACAATCTGGAAAACAATAGCTGATAAAAGCACCAGCATCATAATTAAAAGCATCAGTGGCAATAATTGTTTCCAGTTTTGGGTTATAATGAGTCAGTAATAAATAAAATTTACCCGGATCCAGTCGACGATCATGCTTACCGAATATAAATCCAGGACAATTAACGGATTCAGGAAATGGTTCACATTAACGTTTTGCGGTTGAAAACCAGACTCCTATACTCTTGTATGTAGTTTATCCAAATGGGACGATAATTCTTCTTTAGAGGAGCCTAAATCAGTAATAACATCCAAGTATGCTTCAACATCATCGAGATTCAATATCGTGGTATTCATTAAGTGTCGAAAAATTTGTAATAAGAGAACAATCAAGTACATGGGAAACATCAGTTCACGTAAATATCACATCCGTCACAGTTTAAACTGGTATCTAGATTTCTGTAGTCGATTAGGTCCGCCATTTGTCTTTCCGACTGTGTATTGGATATGGACTTAGCATGATCTACAATGTGCTCGATAGTATTGGAATTAACGGTGGAAATTGGAACAGTCTTATCCGGTTCCTGGGATTGTATTTGACCAGCATGTCGGTTGTACGTATTGAAATCATTGATGTCTGGAATTTAAACGATAGATTTTCCAATACTATCCTCCCCCCACAATATAATGTTGGATCTTCATGTCTCCAAGTTGCAAATAATGGTGCTCTACTTGGAACACATTACTCACATTAACTAGAGGATCTATTAGAAGTGGCTTCATGTTGAGGATAAACAACACGACATGAAATCATCCGAACTGTAATTAGGTTTGAATTTAATTTGAACTTGATCACATTGACTTCCTTCTACAAAAAACTAGTTAAAGGAATCTTATAGACGTACGACTTAGTGAACCCTTTCAAAATTTTGTCAACCTGGAGGTTGGACCATCAAGAAGTTCGCTTGATCACGAACTGTTTAAAACCATAAATATCCTGACTCTTGTTCGGCTCATCATGATGTCCACCAATTATTATTTATAGCATCAACCTTCTTTCCTCAACTTGCTCATATTGATAATGTAAGTCAAATTAGGCATCTTCTGTATGTTTCATTATCTGTACTTCTCCCACTGCTCAGTAAATGTTTAATATCTGTCATTTTGGACTACATGATGGAGGAAGACTAAGGCAAGGAATCAACGAGGACAGATTATTTGGGGACCACTTCAGATATTGTTACAGGAACACGTTATTCCGATGTTTTACTTATTATGCCTAATTTCGACGAAATCTCATATATCATTAAGTTCCTAATGATAATCTATGGTGATGATGCCGAAAGATGATCAGAAGTGGAGGAAAGAGCGCTGATAGACATAAATACATATTTGACGGGCTTGCTAAGATGTCTAAGTCGACCGGGAGTGTCAATAATTTCAATAAAGTGGAAGCTGCGGTGACTTATTTCTGTCTCACAACAGTCTTGGGGCAATCGCAGTTCATGACCTTAAAACCGCAGTTAACTGCTTTTCGTGTAAGGTTAGAGTATTCAAAACCTCACTAAGTTAGATGGTAGCTTTGATATCCTGGAAAGAGCATAGAGAACTTGCTACCCATGTGATCCTGGAACTCCAAGACTTGTCATACACAAGGAGGCTAGAAAAGTTAGATCACTTTACAGTGATCTAGGTCAAAATAACTCACGAAGGATATCAGATAAGCTAAAGTGGAGTGTGAAATAAATCCTATCGGTAATAGGTTTTATAGCCTATCACTGAACTCTTGGGACATATTACTAGAAGAAATTGTGTCCTCGCCTGCAAATGATTAGACACTTATCGGAGCTTGCTAGGGACTTACCTATATAATTAGCCTTCTGTTCCCAACAAACAAGTCTGGGTTATAGTGCTCTTTTTTCGAAGAACTGTTATGTAACCTACTGAAGTAATGGATTTTGAAGTGACTAAAGCTACTCCTTCTTTTTTCATTTAAGTACTTAATTCAATATAGAATACTCATAACACAAAGAACCACGGACATCATATATATGTTTTTTCAAAGCTTGTATTCAGAAGTTTTAGAATTTTACTTGACATAATATATTCATTTGGTTGAACTTGAGTCATTGGCAAATTGTTCGTAAAGCTGAAACTTTGCGGGTGCCTTGAGTTTGGCCTTACGCGCCTGATTTGTCTCCTTACCCTTCGTTTTATGCCTTTCTTCCTGCATTTCATGTCTTCTGTCGTTATAACCAATAGTATACACAAATCTAAAGGTTCTTTTTACTTACAAATCAGGTATGCATATCAAGAAGAGACTTCGCCGCTACATAAGTAACATTATAAGCTTTACTAATTCCCACACTCGAAACACGCTTCGTGATCGATCTGCTGATTTTTATGGTGAGATATTCTGAATAATGATGTCGATTCTTTACTTGGATTTAGGAATTGTCATGTGTTTACTTGGTCTAATTCGCTTTTCATGTGCTTCAACTTCTTAGTTCCGGTAGAGAATTCCAGTAATTCTCGCACCGAGTAGTGGATTACTGGAATTCTCTACCGGAATACGTAATATCAGCACCGTCTGTTAATATATTCAAAACGAGATTGGACCTCCACAGTATTACAAACTGCAAGGATTAATATAGGTCGACAGACCTCCTATCCTTATTACTGAAGACTGGTGTACACTATATATGTACGTACTGTGTTCATCAATGGGTTTGCAGGTCAAGCTAAAGAAAATAACGCAACGCAGCAATAATTTAGTTTTAGGGCACTGAGTGTCTTTTTGTAAAAGAGATTAATATTGGCAGATCCACTGTGAAAGACGTGGAACTGTATCCGTTTGGGAAGCTAACGGAAGGAATACGTCTGTTTTGTCTAGGTGCCTAAAAATTGCATTGACGGAATAACTGATCTTAAACCAAGGAGAATCGGGAGTTTAGGCATGGACGAAGTGGGTGTTCCGTAGCATATGTATGTATCCTGCAAGCAAGTGGCGGAACTATGCTTGATGGGTGATCCAATAATATATGAGATAGAGACTAAGATTTTTTGCATGAAATTTATTCTTCCATATAGCTATATAGAATTTCAGCTGTGTTTGATGTCAGTTTGTTCGTGAAAACTCTAGCTTTTAGCTGTAATTTTTGATCTTGATCCGTTACACTGATAAGCTCACTTGTGGAATTTCAGACCTATACAAGGTCACTCTGGTTCTGTTCGAAAGTCGTCCATAAGTCTTGGTCTCTCCACTATCGGGTCTGTCGAATATCTTATTAAATGGGAACAAAAGACAACTATTGCCTAGCTTTGATACCTTCCTATACCCATACGTCGCTGTTCGTAATCAGTCCATTCTGTAAAGTGATTCATATCTAAACCGTTCTTGGTCCCTTGTGTTCGCAAACTTCGGTTAGAATGTGTAGGTCACGACAAAAGATAATGTCGCTGATCTGTCAAGCACATGTTTGTCTACCTGCTTCGGTTTGAGCTCGGGCAATATTCCAGCCGTCACACATCCAGTGATTTGTGTGGCGCATACGTATTTGGTGCTTTCTTGTACTAATGTTTATGTGTTTAGGTAAATAAATAAATGCTTGTCCACTCTACTATGAGCCACATGTTTGTGTAAGAATGATTCATCGGTCTTATTACCATCTGATTACCACATTACACGGTTGAATAATATCTATGCTATTATTTGTAGCAGATACTTTTAATGGTGTTATCTATTTTAATCCGAATTTATTCACACACCTTTCTTCACCTTTTTGGGAATTAGCAAATGAAGTTACAGATGAATTGGTTGATCTCATGCGTAAAGTTTGGCTTCCGATTGTTGGTCCTGGTTATGAAATCATAGTAAGTATTTCCATAACGTATGTGCTTTTTCAAGTCTATTTTGTTGATTGTTAAATATTTCCAAGTTACATTTTAATATCCTAGTCTGTAAGCCAAGTCGAACTGAAAAACGCTTAGGTGGGTCTTATAGCATTCCAGACTAAGGAACAGATAACGGTGACCCTGCGCTGAGATTTTTCTCAGATAACCGATTAATTCTTGGAAGTACAAGTTTTAAAGAAAAGGAGAGATTCTTAACCTAGCGACCCAAATATAAATACAATGATAAACACAAATAGATTATATCCCTATCAGCTATCGTTTAAACAGATCAATAGAAGGCTGCCGCTCCTTCTGGAGCACATGTTTGGATTCCGACCATACCCTAGTGTGCGGACGCATTTCCAGACGTTCTACTGAACGTAAAGTCATACCAGAAAGAAGACTCCCTACGTATTAACTCGAAGCTGGAAAGGTCAATAACACATTTTTGAAAGCGGTGGCTCGATGGTTGAGGCTTTCAACTCCTAGTCACTAGGTCCTAGGTTCGATCATCAATTAACATACCTCGGTTTGGGCGACCGAGTACTATCACCAACCCTCACACTTAGAGGGTGAATTAATTTAATTTCAATTCAGGGAAAAATTAACTAAACAATCAGTCGATCGTAGATTTAGTCTTATCTGAATAGTCTCATTTGCTGGTCGTCCCAATTTATGAAAATGTAGACGTAGACGTGTAGACTAAATATTCACTCTTCAGATTTTAAAATATGGACGTGCTTACCGTCGTTTAACTATAGTTGTATTTCTCGACTTCGAGGCAGCATTCGCTTCTATTAACCTAAAGGTTCTGTGCTAATTTTTATCATTGAAAGACGTACCAAAGAAGTACATAAACATTGTACCAGTTTCCTACTCCAGTACTATTGATGGAGTCAGAGGTCGTGGCTAACTGTTGTGTTTACGGAGTCCTTAACTAACTTATGCTTTGTACTAAAACCTCGAATCTAATGGCTCATAGTAAGAACGCAAAGACTGGTGGTATAAATCCTTTTTGACCCACAAATAAATAAAATTGGTACCTGAAAACACTGCTTAGTCTACGATTTATTTACACTCAGATTCGCATCCGTATTTCTATAATTGGAAGTGAGTAGTACTTGACATCAGTTCATCAATGATTTTCCACATGAATATTTGTAATGTAGTGATAAAACTTCACACTGGCTAAATTTTGCTATTTTGGTCCTATCATATCAAATTGTCAACCTCAAGTGGTGTATATCAGGAATGTCCGCTGTCCCCTTTTTTACTTAACTTCGTCACAGGTGTTCTACTAGAAGTAACACTTTCTTTTAAAGGGTTAGTTTCCCAGGAACTTTACTTATCGACTTCGAATACACGGATAACATGGTCTAGTATCAAAAGGGCTTGTATACTGCGCATCAGTTCACTTGTAATATCAAGTGTATGTTAAATATGAGAGTAAAATATGTGCTTAGGCTATAGGCTTTTGATCAAACTTGCCTTTTCTCTCCTTTTCTTTCCAATTGCTATTCATTCTCTTGATATCTTCTTCCAATCCCCTCCACAATGTGTTCCTTGGTCTTCCTTTTTGCCTTTCTCTCTTCAGGATTCCAAGCTAGTGCTTGCCTCGCGATGAAGTTTGGTGATTTCCGCAATGTTTGTCTTATCCACCTCCAACGTCTTTTCCTAATTTCCTCTTCGGCTGGAATTTGTTTTGTTCTCTCCGACAGTAGGTTTTTGCTGATGGTACCTGGACAACGGACATTGAGTATCTTGCGTAGACAACTGTTTATAACTACTTGTACATTCTCGATGATGATTGTAGTAGTTCTCCAAGTTGCAGCTCCGTGCGATAGAGCTGTCTTGACGTTTGTGTTAAAGATCCTGACTTTGGTGTTGGCTGACTTGTTTTGAGTTCCATATATTCATCAGCTGTAGGAATGCGACCCTTGCTTTGCTAATTCTCGCCTTTACGTCCCTTGTGTGTTGAGACCTACTGCTGCAGAGACTGATGCTGCACTGGCTGTCTTTACCTGCATTGGTAGGTGTTTATGGGATAGAAAAACTAGGTCATCTGCGAGATTCAGGATCTAAAATATCCGTGCTCTGCTTGATATATGGAGGTCTTCATAATCCAGTCGGCCACCAGAAATGCGACAGTAGATAGCTTTGTCTGATACTAGTCTTCACTTAGATTACGTACGTGAGCTGACCTCCATGCACGACTTGTAGTGTAGTCTGTTTTAAGAATTCTGTACGAAATTGACAATATTCTCATGTACACCATAGTGTCGAAGAAGCTTCCACAAGATTCTCCTATCCACACTATCAAATGCTTTATCATAGTTAAGAGGATTGATGTATGGTAACCAGTTCTATTCACTTGATTGTTCAACAATGATCAATAGTGTCGCGATGTGGTCTGTAAACTATCGATCCTTACGGAATCCGGCCTGTTGTTCTCGAAGTTGAGCGTCCACTGAATCTTTCGTCTGGTTCAACAACACTGTTGAAAACTTTTCCTGATACTGATAGTAGTGTGGTACCTCTGTAGTTCTCACACTTACTGAGTCACTTTGATGAGATATCCCACTTTCCAGTCTATCGGCACTTGTTCATCCTCCTAAATCCTCTTGAATAGGATGTGTAACAAGTTTGCAGTTACTTCTATGTTTGACGTCAGTGCTTCAGCTTGTATGTTGTCTGATGCTGCTGGTTCTCCACTGTTGATTTGTCTGGTGGCTATGCTGATTTTTCCTATTGTTTGTGGGTTGACATCTATAGAGAGGTTTGTGTATGCTGCTTCGATGTCTAGTGGTTTCAGTGAGTCTGGTCTATTTAAGAGTTCTTCAAAGTGTTTTACCCACCTAATCCGCTGTTCTCGATCGTCAGCGATTGGTTCCCTATCTTTGATAATGCTCCTTCACTCTCTCATTTACTTCTGTGTTCGGTTTGTGCCTCGTCTTTCTTTGCTCTTGTTTGGTTGTGATTGCTGTTTTCTTGTTCGTGATTTCTTGAATTTTGCTACGGGATATCAACAGGCATCCATCTTTCATGAAAAGCAAACCGCCAGAGTGTTTGGAAAATAATCCTTAATAAAATTATCTGTTAAGGTTATTTCGACCACGAAAGAGACTAGACTGTTACAAATTTCTTATGAATACAAAGACATGGATCGTTTGCTTGAATCCTTATGGCTCCTATATGTAAGGAACAAGATCAAACGCTATATAAAAAACTAGTAGGTATTGGATAAATTAATGTCAATGATTTGTTCTTATCTACTTTCATCTATATTAGGTTTTACATATTCATAAATCTCGCGGAACATCAAATTTGGGCATAAGCATTGAAGGTGTGACCTATGTGGCAGAACCAGATTTCGATCATGAAAATTTATCACCTACAACGGTTAAAACTAATAGTCAAATTGAAGATAAATCTAATTCAAGTAGTAAACTGTTACCAAATGGTATGGCAAGATCTGCTCATTCAAATGATATCAAGTATAGTGATATGCCATCACGCCATTTCGTCCAATATATTGTACCTGATGGTCTGGTCGGTAGTTTGGGTGTTGTGCAAAAGGGTGATGAGTTACTTCAGGTAAGAACATACCTATTTTCGAGGGAAAAATCACGGTTGGCTTTTGAGTACCGGGTTTAAGAATTACTGTGTAGTGTAATAGCCTAGAGCCGCCAATCAGAAGCAGCGAATTATCGATCGGACTAAGGACGGGTAAACACGTGAGAGCAGCCTAGAGTTCTGATTGGCCCTGCTTTCTGTCTAGCCCAGCCAACTAAATCCAGAACACCAACCCGAGCCTCTGCGATATGAATTGTGTATTTCAAACATACTCTGTTTATATACCAATCAAGCAGACCACATTGTACCATAAAATATAAAATAACATTTGTACAAGATTTGGCCAAATGTGGCTGTGAATGTGGGAGGCAGTGACTAATAGGGAATAATTCAAGAATGGAAAATCGCATAATAACAGTTCATAGGTTAAAATAAAGCTTATGATAAGAGAGACATGAATATGAATAGTTAATTAACCATTATACGATAAAAATAAACGTATAGTATTGGTCCACAAATAGATCCCAAAAATTACCACTCATTATTCTTATCGGGACACAACAGTAGTCAGTGATGTCATGTCATTGACTTGTAGAAGGCCTGAAAAATTATATGGTTTCATCTTGTTACCCATAATTAGTCTTGTGTTCTTTAGCTTCTGGAACTCACATTTCACCCTATTTAGAATTTGTGAGCTGGATGTACGTATTCCTTATTGTACGCTTAGCGTCTATTCTCATCTGTACGTTAAAAATCACACACCGTATCTACGCAATTAGGACAAGCGTTTGACTTCATTTCACGAGTTTATTCTTAATGTATCGACCACATTTGTTAGCTTGCAAAACATTTTTTATTTTGTATTAGTGATATTTGTGTTATCCACTTCGTCTACATGATTCGTTTATCAGTGACTATCGGTTCTAAGTCATTTAGTTTATCAGTATAACGGTTTGCGGTGATTGCAGTATTTTCCCAGTTGAAGTCACGAGCCGATCTAAGCTAGACCACTACTGAAAACCTAAAAGCACTAGCATAGGACTCCTCAGCAGTGCTCGTCCACAATCTCGCATGCGGGACCCAGGGCCTTCGATCTCGTGCTCAAACAGTTAACTTCTAGACCACTGTACCAGCATCTTACAGTGTTAATGTCCAACATTAGTCAATCCATGATCTTGCGCAACCTTCCATCCATTGCCTGAGGTGGATATCTGTCTCGCATCCGACACGGATTGGACTTGGTCACGACTTTTCACCAAAACTCCATGTAGTTTATTCATTTATTTTGTGAATTAATTCGAAGATCGTGCGACCTTGGTAACATCTTTGATCATAATGTTTAGCAAATGCAGACTGATGAAACAGTATCTGATAATGAACGATAATTTACAGTTGTAACATGACAACATTTATGATTTCTATGGTCTTATAGTTATTATTAATGGGGTTTTGATTTCTTAAATGGGTTACCTAATCTTATTCAATATTCCTTTGATCTTTATGTCTGTGTTTTACTTCCTCGTCTTGGGATATTTTCATTACTGGTATTGATGGTGCTTAATGTTTCTGATTTTCGTATACTTTTCAGGCTAATGGTCATCGTATACATGGTACAACGCATACTAGTACTCTTCGTTATTTGCGCAATTTACCATCACGCATTGAATTAGTCTTTGCTCGTAAAAAGTCTACATATGAGAATGGGGGTGATGACGTGTTTGGTATTACGGACGGTAAGGATCGGTTGATTGATGTCGCAGGGGAATCAATACTTGAAGTAGCTGCTAGTGAAATTGGTTCTGTAGATACTGGTTCATCTATGAGGATAGTGAATACTTACGATAATGTTGATCGGTCAATTTATTCTAGTCCAGTATCGCCGGCTACGGCCCATAAACGTGTCACCGAATGGATTCGAAAATCTCAAGGAGATTTAAGTGCGACTATTGACTATTCATCTTCACCTGAATCTTCTGTAACTAAACAAACTAATAATAAATCAGAAAGATTCAATTATTGTGATTTAAAAGTAAGTACTTATTTGCAATACATTTACTGAAATAATTTTTGATATTCTATAGACCAAATTGTCATTAGAAGAAAATATGCATCTCGTCATAGCTGTATATGTTTAATAGCTGTTATGTCTATCTAGTTAAACTTTAGGATCAACTATTTTCTAACTCCAATTATTGCAACATATTTTACATTTTTTAGATTTGTTTTAATTAACTTTCCATTAATGTTATCCATATAGTGTATTTCCACACTTTTCCAAATACCTGTGACGCTCATTTTTAACGATTTCAAACAGAACTATAACATCAGTTACCATATATTCCCTCTTTTCTGTTTTTCGTAGAAACAAGAGACGATTACTTTTGAATCGATGCGTCATATATATATATATATATATATATTGCATCTAATGAAGCGAGTGTTATTGTTATTACTCCTGTTCACATAAAATAGATGGAACATAGATAGCAGTGGAATTCAGAACGTGAGTTTCATCCTATTTGGGACTCGTCAACTGGATGTACCTACATCCCAGTGTTTATTTTCACTTTGGGATTCAAACCCAGTACCTTCTCGCTCCAAACATCAACGCGCTATCCACTTAGTTACTGACTTCCAATAACCACTAATTTGTGCAATGGGGATGGATTTTAATCCAATTTATAATGGTTATGATTATCTCTTTTTTGATACTTTGACTGGAATTCTCTTATTCCCAGTTGATTATGTCCATCGTATGTGGGTCGCGTCTATATAACCATTACGATAAAAGTTTACATAGACTGGCCAAATTTCAGTCAAAGTATCAAAAAAGAGATAATCATAACCATTATAAATTGGATTAAAATCCATCCCCATTGCACAAATTAGTGGTTATTGGAAGTCAGTAACTAAGTGGATAGCGCGTTGATGTTTGGAGCGAGAAGGTACTGGGTTTGAATCCCAAAGTGAAAATAAACACTGGGATATAGGTACATCCAGTTGACGAGTCCCAAATAGGATGGAACTCACGTCCTGAATTCCACTGCTATCCATGTTCCATCTCTTCTGTGTAAACTTGTGTTATAATGAGTACATCGAGGCAATTCACATATATACCAACTAATACTGATCAAATTTTAGTTAACATATTAACAATGGGATAATCCAAACTATTAAACATTATAATAATAATAATAATAATAATATTATTATTATTATTATTATTATTATTATTATTATTATTATTAAATGATTCCTTGGTCAATATTTACCGAAATAAATTCTTTCATCTAGATAGTTCGGTAGGGATCGAATCACTTATCGATAGTTTTCATTGGTGTGATTAAATATTAGTTGTGCATAAAATGAGTATTTTGGAAACTAGTCCTCCGATGTTCTGTTAGGAAGAGGTGACTTGTAGAGTTACCCAAGTTGTGAATGAGTCAGCTACCTACTGATGACTTTGGATGACTATTAGACCATACTGTGAATTGATTGAAGTTAGGATGTGTAGACTTTTGGCTCATGACTTACTAGTTACATCATTTCGTTTTCTTTATTGGAGTGGTTGCTTCAAAGTCCATAGTCGACTACATACACCTGTACTTATTAATTGGGGTAAGTTAAAATCGTTGCAAGGAATGAAAGTTACGGGTCCAATGTTATGCTGCGCGACCGTTGGTTAACTGGTGAAGAACTCACTAATAGGACAGAGTAGCTGTTCTACTCTCTTTGCTTTTCCAGCTAATGTTAATTTATGATTACAATAGCTTTTAATTGTTTTTTTTACCCTCAAGATTGTATTAAACTGTGAAGTTCGTAGTGATTGCTCGGTGGTTAAAGCACTCTGCTTGAAACCAATGAATCACAGGTTTTTTCTTCACTTTGAGCAATCAGCTAGTGTCCTCAGCTCTCACACAAAAATATGTGAAACCAACGAAATAGATCTATACTAGGTAAATGTTTTGCTACTTCAAAGATTAAATGTTTATACTAATTAACTTGATTAAATTTAAAATGTACGAATAAAATACAGTTAGAGTGTAGCATAGGGAAAAGCGTAAAGCAACCGCGGCAAATTTCCTGCCAATTCATAGCCTGTCAGAGAACAGCTTTAGTAAGTGAATAGTTTATAGTAAAGAAAGCAATAATGTGAAATGTAAACAGACTTTATGTGACCATTAAATCTCGTAGTCTTCTATTGATTACTCTGCGATGTATAAATTCGTCCATGTGAATATAGATTACTTGTCTTCTCGAATTCTCCCGACCGTAGCTGCTACCTTGACGCAGTGGTTGGGCTCGCCTATCGTCATGACACAACCGTCGTTCATTTGACCTCACTATATCAAAATAAAGAACCAACTCGATTTACGCTTCGTGTATCTGGAAGCCCTGATTCTGCTTCCCGTGGCCTCGCCGGCGTAGGTATAGCATTGAGTCCTAGGGCAGAACTAGCTCTCTTAGAGTGGATCCCAGTAAACAGTCGTTTGTGCGCTGTCCGACTGAACGGAACAGTAAGAATCCGGAAAGATAGGAACACTCGTCGTTGCCTCTTCGTTGTCTCTGCCTGTTCTCCCACTGACTGCAGCTCAGATGATGTAAACGATGAGTTTTACAGAAAGCTTTCAGACCTTCTCCGAAAAGCTAGAAGCTTTGGTGTTTTAATAGTGGTCGGTAACGTTAATGCTCAAGTAGGTAAACTAAGCGAAAGGGAAAGACACCTGAGTGGATTTTATGGTGTCGTTGCTCAAAGAACAGATAATGGCGACCGTCTGTTGCAGCTATGCTCAGATAACCGCCTGTTTCTTGCAAATACTAACTTTAAGCATAAGGAAAAACATCATTTAACATGGAGACCCCCTAATTCATCCCAACGTTGGACCCAAATATCTCAAATCGCTATCAGCCACCGATGGAGGGGCTTGCTTGAAGACTGTCGCTCATTCTGGAGCACATGCTTAGATTCAGATCATGCTCTAGTACGAGCGCGTATCTGTCTGCGTCTTACTGGACGTAGGAAAGATGCTGCAAGTAAACCTCTTGGGGCTCTACTTAATGATAATCAAGCTAAGAGTATATTTCAGGAACAACTAGGAAAACAGTTAGGCAGCCATGTATGTGATGCCCACCCCGAGGCAGCATGGAATGATGTCCGAAAAGCTGTGGAAACAGCAGTGATATCTGCTAGTACGGTAACCCGTAAGGTTAGGGAGCAACACAGGATCTCAGCAGCATCTATCGCACTGATAGATGCTCGGAAACTCATTCCACCTGACTCTGAACATAATGAAGAGCGGAGTTAGCTTAAGCGCAAGCTGACAAGAAGTCTACGTAATGATCGTAAACAGCGGTGGATAGTGAAAGCAAGAAAGATGGAAAAGGCAGAGGCAATAGGTAACAGCAGACAATTGTTCAGACTTGTTAAGGAGACCGGTATTAGGGACCCGACTGTTAACGAACCACTCGGAGAAAGATGGACATATTATAAACTCTCAATCCAGGAGATTGGATCGATGGGCAGAACACTTTAGGGATCAGTTCAACTGGCCTTCAGCCACACTTTGGTTTCCCACGATCTCCAGCCAACCTGAATGGCAAGTTAATGCAGGTCCTCCGACTCTTTACGAAGTTGAAAAAGTTATAGGAAATCTGAAGCGTGGAAGAGCAGCAGGCCCTGACAGGTTTACTCCTGAGATTTTTAAGGATGGTGGTCCGGTATTAGCAGTGAGATTAACTGAGGTCTTAGGTAGAATTTGGGAACTGGACGTAATCCCATCTGACTGGTCTCAATCACTGATTGTGCCAGTCTATAAGAGAGGACACAAGTCCTCTTGTGACAATCACAGAGGAATCAATTTGACTAATATAGTGTCTAAAATATTAGCTTCAATAATACTTCGACGCCTAACTAAAGCTCGTGAAGAGCAGACTAGAGAAAACCAGGCTGGTTTTCGACCTGGACGTGGTTGTATAGACCAGATATTCACACTACGTCAGGTTCTAGAACATAGACACACATTCAGACGCCCCACAATCATAGTATTTCTCAACCTTAAGGCGGCATTCGACTCTGTTGATCGTGAGGTTCTATGGCAGTGTTTGTCACTGAAAGGAGTACCAAAGAAGTACATTAACCTTGTAAAGGCTCTCTACTCGAACACAACTGGTCGAGTGGGAGCTTATGGCGAACTGTCATCAGAACTGATTACCTCAAGTAGTGTTCGTCAGGGCTGTCCACTCTCTCCATTCTTGTTTAACTTTGTCGTTGACGTACTTTTAGAGATAACACTTTCCTCGTCTAGATTTCCAGGGGTTGAACTTCTACCGGGAGATTCACTTGTTGACTGAGAATATGCAGATGACATAGTTCTATTTGGTAAAGTCTTCTGACCACTATAAGCAACAGTGTAAGGATGTTCGGAATGCGATTCTCTCCGTCGAAATGCGAAATGTTACTTCAGGATTGGGTTACATCGACACCCGAACTAGTGATAGGGATTGGAGTAGTTGAGCATGTCGACCGCTTCACTTATCTTGGAAGTCTCATCAGCCCTTGTGGTCTGGTGTGTGACAAAATCTCAGCACGGATACAGAAGTCTCGACTAGCTTTTGCCAACTTGCGTCATTTATAGCGTAGGCGAGATATCCGTTTATCAACCAAAGGACGGGTTTACTGCGTAGCAGTTCGTCCCGTCCTACTTTATGGTAGTGAAACATGGCCGGTAAGAGTAGAGGATATTCGTAGGTTACTAGTATTTGATCATGGGTGTCTTCGAAGCATTGCCCGTATATTCTGGGACCACTGAGTACGGGATGCAGTTGTTAGGAAACGGGTACTAGGTAAGGATGGCAAATCCATTGATGAAGTAGTGAAACTTCATCAGTTGAGATGGCTGGGACACCTGTTACATATGCACAACAACTGACTGCCCCGATGTGCGATGTTTTATGGTGTAAGAGTAGATTGGAAGAAAGCTAGGGGCGGCCAGACTAAAACATGGCACAAGTCCATGAAGTCACTGACAA